CTGTATGTGGGATCCAAACCCTCGGGCGGGAGCGCCGCCGCGCTTCCCAAGCGGCGCACTTATCCAGTGCGCCACCGGGCCGGCCCGCAACGCCTTTAACCTAGCAATGCCACCTCTATGAATTCACAAACACACACTATATATGACATAAGAACAGAGATTTTCATTGTGGCATTGTTTATAATAGTAAAAGACTTGAAATGGTCTAAAGCACCATCATTTGCAGACTGGTTAATAAACTGTGGTACATCCACACAAAGGAATATTAAACAGCCATAAGAAAAGAATAAGTCATATCTATATGAAATGATCTCTAAGGCCTATTGAAAAGTGAAAAAGCAAGGTGCTGAGTGAGGCGAGAGATGTACATAGTATGTACATGCATAGAATATTTTCTTGAAGGATTAAAAAAATTGGTAACTTCATTTGAATTTTTACTTTTGGTAAAATACGTATGGTATGCCACTTTTCAATTTTAAAAGTTATTAAAGAGAAAAGCTCATAAAATAGTATATTGTTATTTTAAATTTGTTTTTCTTTAATAATAAGTAATGTCATTTATTTATTCAATGTATTTGCATTTCCTTTTCTGTGAACTACCTGTTCTTGTCCTTATCCATTTTTCTTTTGGGTCGTTATTTTTTATTGATATGCAACAGCTTTTAAGATAATAAAAAAATTAGCCCTTTGACCAGCATGACCCAATTTAGATCACTCAGACTAGAGAGGGCCAGAGAAGGTCACCTTCTCCTCTCCCTGTAGCAGTATGCACTTGCCTGTAGTTCAAACTATCTAGGAGAGGAGCGGGGCAGTCTCCCTGCAACTGCTCTTTTACTAGTTCTTGTCCTTCATTCTCAAGAAGTCCTCCCTTATCTTTAAGCTCAGTCCTTCACATGATAGGTTCAATTCATTTCCTCTTTCTCTTCTGTGAAATATTCTATAAAATCCCTTCCAGGACTTCAAGTCTGTGATTCATTTAGAATGTAAGAACTTACTCTGAACAAGATTGAAGATATGAAAAGACATGTAACTATAACATCATGTTGGAATGTGCCTTGCAGAAGTAAATGCAGTGTGCTTTGGGGACACAGAGGATATTGCCACTGGTGTCTCCTGGGGAGTCAAGGAAGGTTTCATAGAGGAGGGGAAATGCTAGCTTAGTAGCTATGTTTGTTGACCATCTTATACAATAACATACATTACTTCCTTCTTAATGTGAATTTTGCTGGGTCCCCTTTTTTCCTTTCTCTCTACTCTTGGTGACCTTAACTAATCTCATGACTTTTAATATCTAAATCCTGGAGACTGCTAAATTTATATCTCTAGCCCAGACCTTTTCAGAGCTTCATATTCCTCTATACAGCTGCTTTCTTGTCACTTCTACTTGGATAGACATCTCTAACATGATATGTTCAAAGCAGAACTCTTCATTTTTGTCCCCTTAATTTCTTTTCCCCCCATCTTTCCCATCTCCGTAAATGAAACCACTGTCTACCCAGTTGCTCAGGCCAAAAACCTGAGAATCATCTTTTCCTCCATCCCCTTCACCTTCCTTGACCAACCCATTCTTACGTTCCATTGGTTATGCCTTCAGTTTCTATCCCAGATCCCTTCCTCATCTTCCCACCTGCAGTGTCAGTGCTCTAGTCTAAGCCTCTGTCTTCTCCCACCTGGAACATCATAGTAGGCTCCTAACTTGTCTACTTTATTTATTCAACGCATATTTATGGAGTACCTTCTATTTGTTAGTACAGGAACCAGATATTAATCAGTAATCGCTTAAGGAAATGTAAGATCTCACATTTGCTAAGTATTACAAAGGGCTCAAGTTGCGTAGTGCAGTGAGGATCTCGATAGCACAACTTGACTTAGTCAAGGGAAGAGGGTGTCCCCAGGAAGTGATGCCTGAGCTCAGACCTTAAGGATGATTCAGAGAGAAAGACAGAGGGTTCTTGGCAAAGGACACAGTACAAGTCCTGTGGTGGGAGGAGAACAGAGCTGGTATAGGAGGGGTCTTCAAAAAGTTCATGTAAAGTTTCTTATTTTTTAATTCCATTTTTACATGAGCTTTTCAGAGTACCCTCAAAGGGGCTAGAAGAAGATGGATGGAGCAGAGAGAACCTGAGAAGCCTGGTGCTAGCAGAGATGGAGAGGAGATGGGCCGGCCCACACGGGCTGCCCTGTAGGTCATGTCAGTGCTTTTACCACAAAAGCAGTGGGCAGCCATTGAAGGTTCTGAATAAAGGAGTGTCACTTATCCTCTACCCACACTCTTGCCCCCTTCCCAGCATTTTCCTATTAAATTTTCTTTCCTACTCTAAGAGAACAATTTCAGACCTTTGCCTCTTTCTTCAGATTTCCACCAAAACCCCCATTCCTCACTCCAAATTGATGACCTTACTTCACACTTAATTGAGAAAATAGCAATAATCACATGAGAAATACCTCATCTTCCCATTACCAAACTACGTTGCTACCTCCATCTGTACCAATAAGTATGAAGGAAGCACCTTCCTCTGTTTCCTGCGTCCTAGATCCCATTCCCTCTTGTCTGCTCTAGAACTTTGCTTCTTCAGTTATCTCCCCTCTCCTTGCTGTCAGTTACTCTGTCTCTCTTGGATTATTCCCATCAGCCTATAAACATGCCCAAGCCCATCTTTTATAAATCTTCCCTTGACCCTGTTTTTGCCTCCAGGTACCACCTCATTTCTTTGCTTCTCTCACAGTCAAACCTCTCAAAAGAATTGTTCATGTTCATTGTCTTCATTTTCTTAACTCATTCCACTAAAAGGGCTAACCACTAGCCATATGTGATTATTGAGTACTTGAAATGTGGTTAGTTTGACTAAGGGACTGGATTATTAACTGTATTTATTTATTTATTTTATTTTATTTTTTTAAAGATGACCGGTAAGGGGATCTTAACTCTTGACTTTGGTGTTGTCAGCACCACGCTCAGCCAGTGAGCAAACCGGCCATCCCTATATGGGATCCGAACCCATGGCCTTGGTGTTATCAGCACCGCACTCTCCCGAGTGAGCCACGGGCCGGCCCTAACTGTATTTAATTTTAATTAATTTAAATTCAATAGCCTCATGTGGCTAGTGGCTACCATCTTGGACAGCACAGCTCTAAAGGATTCTAATTACATAGTTAACAAACCTTATCTCATATATGTATATGTGGTGTATATCATAACATATATAAAACTTTGTGCATAAGAGTTCATATTCTTTTCAAACAGAGCAGTAATGAGATTCTCCTAGATCCCTCAGGTAAAGATCCTACACAGTTTTGCCCCCACCCTCTTTTCATGCCACTGTCCCTCTCATTCTGAACTTTAGTGCACTGGTCTGCACAAACCTGCCAGCCTGGGCAAAGAAAGGACTGAAGGCATTCAGCTTCTCAAGGTAATCAAGGAATAGTAAGAAATTCAGTGTCATTGAACATGAAGATTGATTCCTTTTACTGCTTGAGCTGATAAATCTTGATGCTGATGACTCTGTTATATGCAGTTTGATTATCGAAAGCTGGAATCCCAACCAGTAGATTAGGATCTCGTCGAAAGCTAGGATTCTTGAAACCTTGTCTACCGACTTCCAGGCCATTTTGCTCCATCATGCTCTTCCCTTTGTGTTTGTGGAAATCCCCAACCATGAACAGTGGGGCCACCTCACTGCTCCTCTCGTGCACTTTACTATCAGCAGAGCTCATGAGCCCAGGATCCATATACCCCATGACTATCTCAAGCCTGCCAGGAATTGAAAAATAACTCCCCAGCAAAGCTTGGTTCCCTGGCCTAAAACAGACCTTGACATAATGACCTCTCCAGGTTAGGTCCTCTTGACCCAATCAGGAAATGAATGAGGAAGTAGGATCGGGTACTTTAGAAATCAGATGGTGTATTAAGTAACAGTGATTCACATAGAAAGAAAGTTATTCTCTTCTCATTTCTGCTTAGGTTAAGACAAAAGTCCAGGTTTGGTGTTAGTGTTTTTTTAAATTTTCTCTAATACTTTCTAATCTTCCTTTATAGGAAAGACAGGTCCAGAGCCTTTGCAGATAACAGTAGTCAGAATTTAGTAACATGGGGCCGGCCCGTGGCTCACTCGGGAGAGTGCGGTGCTGATAACACCAAGGCCACGGGTTCGGATCCCATATAGGGATGGCCGGTTTGCTCACTGGGTGAGCATGGTGCTGACAACACCAAGTCAAGGGTTAAGATCCCCTTACCGGTCATCTTTTAAAAAAAAAAAAAAGAATTTAGTGACATGATTTTATCACATTCTGTTTTACAGCCAGTTTTAATTTATGGCAAGTGATACAGGTTTTCCATTTACAGTATTGATATGAAGCTTACTTTTTAAGTGTGTTTACATTTTTAAAGAGTCAATTTAGAGAAAAATACTAAGTCATAGTCCACGTGATATCTGGATCTAGCAAAAATCATGTAGTTCATGAATGACCAAAATCTGGGAAACGCTGCCTTAGAAACAGTTGTCAAGATTGACGGGTCCATATGTTTGCAAGACTGGTCACATCTTAAGCAAAACTAGCCCTTCCCTGGAACAGCTGTCAAGGTCTAGTGCTTGTCTTTACTCCCTGCTTCTCATCCCAAAGGTTTGTTTACCAAGCAAAAGTTGGGGGTCGCTGGTTCCCAGCCGTCTGCGCGCACAGCAAGAAGCAGGCCAAGCAGGACGCGGCGGATGCGGCTCTCCGTGTGTTGATTGGGGAGAACGAGAAGGCAGAACACATGGGTTTCACAGAGGTAACCCCAGTGACAGGGGCCAGTCTCAGAAGAACTATGCTCCTCCTCTCAAGGTCCCCAGAGGCACAGCCAAAGACAGTTAAGACGTCTACTTTTGGTGCTATCTTTTTGGGGGGTGGGGGTGGGGGTCCTGCTAACTCCTCTCTAGGTGGAGTTGGCTCTTAATTTGCTGTCATGTGAATTATCCCTAGGCTTTAATATTAGCCTCAATAGAGCATATATCTGGGACACTAGATCTGAGAGGGAAGAGATGACTCACAAGAACTTGCTCTCCTGCCCACTGTGAAATATGGTGGACTCAGCCTTGGCTGCGTGTTCGTGACGCAGCCTCCTGTCCCCACAGCTTCCTCTCACAGGCAGCACCATCCATGACCAGATAGCCATGCTGAGCCACCGGTGCTTCAACACTCTCACGAACAGTTTCCAGCCCTCCTTGCTTGGCCGCAAGATCCTGGCTGCCATCATTATGAAGAAAGACTCCGCGGACATGGGTGTCGTGGTCAGCCTGGGGACAGGTGAGTGAGGCTCTGAAGCGTACACCCCAGCCATCTGGTTCCCACGGGGTCTGGAAGAGGGAGGGTCCTTCTCATTCTCCCCTGGAGTCCATGTGGGCAAGTCCAAGCGGGCAGAAAAAGACTCCTCTTATAATTTCATTTTAGCTACAATCAGTTCAGACTGGGGAATGAGTTACTTCCTAGGGAAGAAAATACATCTGATAAATTGAGGCTGTTTCTGCCTTCGGTCCTTAAGAACTAACAGCCTTCATCGTCATTTTCCTTTGATTATGCCATTTTTCTTTTAAACGTCTTCCTAGGGAATCGCTGTGTGAAAGGAGATTCTCTCAGCCTAAAGGGAGAAACCGTCAATGACTGCCATGCAGAAATCATCTCCCGGAGAGGCTTCATCAGGTGAGCAAGACCAGAGCAGGGCTGTGCAACAGGCAGCACCTCTCTGCCCCACTTCCCGTGCCCCCACCCCAAGAAACCGTGGCTCCAACACGTGCCTCTCTGAAATCCCATCAGACTGGCAGGCCATTGACCTGGCAGTGGCAGCCTTTGCTTTTAGCTCATCCATTCGAACCCGTCTTATGGAATCGATCCCCTCTGTGACCAAGGCTGCATCCTGCTACTCAGCCTGGTTTTAAGTGCTCTCCTTTTTTCTGCTTGCTCTGCTTCGTGCCCTTTTTCTAAAAACACAAAATGACCTCTTGGTCCTCAGGGCCTTAGAGATGAGACAGCCTTCCGTCTACATTTGAGGACCTGTAAACAACCTCAGTGCCAGCTCTCTCCTCTAGTTCACCTTTTCTTTAATTTATAAAGGGAGAGACTCAGGGAGAAGCAACAGTCTCCTGTAGTCCTTGAATCGGTTTGTTTTGCCCTAGAATCCCTGTAGCCACCATAGCACGGAGCCCTTGGCAGAAATGAAACTGACCCAAAGGGCTAACCTTGCTTTATCAAACACAGAGGTCTCCCACGGAGAATTTCCCACCACCTCTCTCGACCTGAGAAACTGAAAGCCATTAAGGCTTTTCCTTACTTGGGGCTCAGACAGAGGTCAGATCATAGAAGCAACTGCTAGTCCCAGAATCAAACCTGTCTTCCTAACCAGACTTTCTTTTTGTAGGTTTCTCTACAGCGAATTAATGAAATACAACCCCCAGACTGCAAAAGAAAGCATATTTGAGCTTGCTATAGGAGGAGAAAAGCTCCAAATTAAAAAGTCTGTGTCGTTCCATCTCTATATCAGGTCCGTACGGTCTCTGTTGCTACCAGAGTGGGCCCTGACAGGCTTCCTGGATTGGGTATCTGAATGTTCTCCTGGCCCATAAATCAGACCTTATACAATAGGCCACATTCCCTCTGGGTTTGAGGTACATACACTGGTACAGAATGACTCTCACAGACACTGCTGCCCACCTCCAGTATCCTATGGTAGGCTTTAGAAAACATCCCCTGCTTCTACCACATCTGACTGTTTTTGAGCCCCAGGAGATGGGAGGGAAATCTGCACAAGTCAGTTTTAACAGATGCCCCTGTTTTGCAGCACCGCTCCATGTGGAGATGGTGCCCTCTTTGACAAGTCCTGCAGCGACCGTGCTGTGGAAAGCACAGATTCCCGCCACTACCCTGTCTTTGAGAATCCCAAACAAGGCAAGCTCCGCACCAAAGTAGAGAACGGTGAGTGACACACGACCTCCCCCCACTTCTCACAAAAGGTTCTGCAAGACCCCAAGACCCCCAGTCTGCAAGACTGCAGAGGTTTGTCATTAGTCACAGTGGGCACTGAGGTGTGTGGTTTACAGGAGAGGGAAGATGCCAGTGGGGAGGTCTGTAGGAAGATCACAGCTCCATTTTGAATTTGTTAGTTTGGGAGACCTGGGAGATCTCCAAACCAAATAGGAGGTGGAAGTACCCGTCTGGAGCTCACAGAGAGAGCATGGCTGGAAATAAAAAGATGAGAGTCATCCTCCTGGAGGATCTTCACACCATGGGAATGGATGGGACCACCTCGGGGGAGGGTAGAGGAAATGAAAAGAAAATGATGCCAAACCCAGCCCCTAGGCGTTGAGTTAACAGCTGAAGATGCTAAGTGCCTGGTCCCCTCCTGGCTAGTTGGCGGCTGATTCGACACCTTGTCCACTAGCTCCTTCTCCTCTTCTGACCTCTAACATCTCCTGTCTCCTTGCATCCACTCCTGTTCCCTTCAGGTCACACTTCAACAGTCATCAGAGTGGTCCTCAAACATAAATGAGATCATGTCACTTCCCTGCTAAATACTGTAAAATATAAACATAGAGTTACCATATGACCCAGCAGTTCACTCCTAGGTTTACCCTGAGAGAAATGAAAGCACGTGTCCACACAAACACTAGTACGTGAACGTTTATAGCAGCAGAATTCATAATGGCCAAAAAAAGTGGAAACAACCCAAATGTCCATCAGCTGATAAATGGATAAATAAAATGGGATATATTCACACAATGGAATATTATTTGGCCATAAAAAGAAATGTACCAATACAGGCTACAATATGGTTGAATCTTGAAAACATTATGCTAAGTGAAAAAAAACAGTCACAAAAGATAACATATTGTATGATTCCATTTATCTGAAACATCCAGACAGACAAATCCATAGGAACAGAAAGTAAATTAGTGGTTGCCTTGGGCTGGGGGTGGGAAGGGTTGGAGGGAAATGAGGAGTGACTGCCAGTGGGTAGATTTCTTTGGGGGATGATGAAATGTTCTAAAATTGATTATGGTGATGGTTGCAGAACTCTGTGAATATACTAAAAACCACTGAATTGTATGCTTTAAATGAGTGAATTGTATGGTATATGAATTATATCTCAATAAAGCTGTTATTTAAAAAAACAAAAACAAAAACCCCTATAGTGGTTTCCCACTGCACTTCATGTAATATCAAAACCTGCCATGATCTTCCAGCCTCCTTACACCACTCTCCCTGTCACAGTGTGCTCTAGTGACACTGGCTCCTTGCCAGATCCCTGAACAACCAAACCCCTTGCTACCCCAAGGCCTTTGCTTTTGCTGTTCTCTGTGTCTGAAACACTTACTCCAGCTCTTCCTCCTCCTTTGTATCTCAGCTTCCCCAACCCCTCTGTCCCACGGAGTTCTCCCTGTGGTCCTCCATCAGAGTTCCCTCAGAGTCTTCAGAGCACCATAAGCATCTACAGTTCTTACACATGTATTGGTTTACTTGTTTAGTGTCTGTTCCATTCCCTGTATATCCTCTCACCCTCATAAATATCCCAGGACAGGGATCTTACTTTGTTTTGCTCACCATTGTTTCCCAGTGCCAAGCATCGGGCCTGGCACATAGTAGGTGCTATGAAATACGTAAGGATGAATGAATGAATGGGTATCCTATGGCCCAAGCCTAAGGAGTATAAACACCACATCAAGGAGTAGTTTGGTCCACTGGCCCCTGCTGATCTGACCCAAGTCTCTCACACAGGGGAAGGCACAATCCCTGTGGAGTCGAGTGACATTGTGCCTACGTGGGATGGCATTCGGCTCGGGGAGAGACTCCGTACCATGTCCTGTAGTGACAAAATCCTACGCTGGAACGTCTTGGGCCTGCAAGGGGCACTGTTGACCCACTTCCTGCACCCCGTTTATCTCAAAACTGTCACTCTGGGTAAGGGATCTGCCTTGGGAGCTGGAACTGATCTGTCCTTTTAATGCCCAAGTCCCAGCAAACTGCATGCTTCATTGCCGGGCATTGACATGATGTCTCCCCTTTCCAATGTGAGCTTGATTCAGTCATTAGTAATTGATTCTGAGTGTCCAGTCTGCTGTGGTAGGAAGATTAGATTAGGCAGAAAGCCTAAGTAAAGACATGCCAGGCAGGTCTTTTCAAGATGAGTTAAAGCAGCCCAGAAACTTAAAGCTGCAGTGTCTCAGTTTCCTTGGTCTCCACAGTCCTTGGCCTTACCTGGAACCTTATATATTGTGCTTAAATATTTGATGATCCCATATATATATCCTTGGTAGCCACAATCAGAAGGTGCTTCCTAACAAGGGAACTGTTTCTCAGTCTTTACAACTCTATTTTGTACCTTTAAACTCCCCGCATGACTCTGCCGCTTAACAGTATTTGATGCAAACAGAACTGTATACATTTCTCTTTTTTTACCCAGGTTACCTTTTCAGCCATGGGCATCTGACCCGTGCTATTTGCTGTCGTGTGACACGAGATGGGAATGCATTTAAGGATGGACTACGGCATCCCTTTATTGTCAACCACCCTAAGGTGCTATAACCCCATTCTGTTTTCCCTGGACATTTTTCTCCTTTTCAAGCAATCCTATAAGGAGAGCAAAAATGTACACTATGGGCAAGGGGAGCCTTTGTTGGCATCCCAGGAATTAATCCTTTTCTCCTTTTGGATGCTAAGGGTTTTCCTTCACTTAATCTGAAATTAATTTGAGTCGAGGTGGAGTTAGTATATCTAGAGTCTTCATAGGCTTAGCCAAACAGAATCCTAAATAAAGGAGAAAGATCATGGCCCCACGCTCCTTCCTATGAGTTCTAAATCCCTGCTTCAGAAGCTTATTCCTGAAAGGTTTCCCTCTTTCTCCCATCGCTCCTGGGCTTCCTAGGTTGGCCGAGTCAGTGTATATGATTCCAAAAGACAATCTGGGAAGACTAAGGAGACGAGCGTCAACTGGTGTCTGGCTGATGGCTACGACCTAGAGATCCTGGATGGTACCAGAGGCACCGTGGATGGGTAAGGAGATGGGGGGAGCACAGTAAAAGCAAAGCCAGGCTTCCTGCCCTGACACGCAAGGGCGCGCCGCACGTCTGCCAGTCTCAGAGCTTGAGAGCTGCCGGCCACACCATGCTTCCTCCTTTGGGCTCCCACCTTTCCTGGTCCCTGGTGAATAATGAGTGCCTTGTTTCTCCAGGCCACGTCATGAATTGTCCCGGGTCTCCAAAAAGAATATTTTTCTTCAATTTAAGAAGCTCTGCTCCTTCCGTGGCCGCAGGGATCTACTGAAACTCTCCTATGGTGAGGCCAAGAAGGCTGCCCGTGACTACGAGATAGCTAAGAACTACTTCAAAAAAAGCCTGAAGGACATGGGCTATGGGAACTGGATAAGCAAACCCCAGGAAGAAAAGAACTTTTATCTCTGCCCGGTATAGTATGATCCAGTGACTGATGGACTGGGGGTATTTCACATGGGGCAAGAGGGGTAGGTTGTAGCATTTCTCATCACATCGGTCAAGGGTGGTTTTTGTTTCTCTTTTTTAATGGAACCACAACTGATGGTACCAAGAATTTCAGGTTCCCATTTATCCTGCTTTCTTTAGGATTGCTATGCTGGGTCTGGCCAGGACCTCTTCTCTTTTCCCAAGAGGCAGAGACCTAAGGGGATAGAAAGGAGTTATTTTTTCTTTCCACCCAAAGCATAAGCAGTCACGGAGCACCTGAGGCTCATTTCCTCTTAAGTTTTGTTTTTTTCCATTTCCTTTCCCTTTGTGTTTGCTACACTGACCTCTTGTGGTCTTGATTAGGTTCCAGTCAAATCTCTATGAATCATGTCAGGGACTGATGATTTCATTTATGGATACTGTATGCCCCTCTACTTCCCTTCCTCCCCTTCTGAGATTCTTCTTTGTGATCATTAAGTTTCTCCCTGCACCCCCACCAGGGTAAACAGGTGAACATAAAGAATCTGGTGAAACCTTTATAAGGACAGGAGTTTAAAACTGCAGTCAGTTAATTACCAACTGAAGTGTGATCAGAGTCTTGCACTTTAGCCAGCTGGGTGGTGGGGAGGAAGGTGGGGGTTTGCCAAGAGGCAGGGAAAGCTGCTACTCAGGCAGTTTATCCCTTCCCCAGGCAGCTGGGAAGTCTAGAACCAGCCAAACTGGGCTAGGGAAGTTGCTCAAGCAGTAGCTGAGATTCCCCCTGCAGATGACACAGACTATTTTCCAGGAAACACAGACATTCCTTGGAATACTGCCAAGCTACCAGCTTCCCCTCCTCTTAAATCATTCCTAAGAATTTGCCCCATTCATGGAGGGCATAAGGTCATAGACCCCAACCAACTGGTAGGGAAAAAATCTAGGACAAATCCTAGAGGGCAAATCATCTCTGCTCAGATAATCAGGACTTAGCAAGAAGAGGGCAAAATATCATGTTGGGTCAGATCACTGTTCCACCCAGCATACAATTTCACATGACAGTGACACCAAGGGAAGTTGACTAAACCATGTGTAAAATAGATGAGTTTTTAAAAGAATGCCATAGATGTTGATTCTTAACTGCTACTGATAACCTGTAACTGCACATATTTAAAATGCAGATGTACTTTTCCATTTATCCAAATGCTTTTGTTCTGCAAGATTGCTTCAGAAGCTGGTTTCTGGGCAGGGCACAGACCTAAGGTCTCCCTGCCTCTTAGGAATCTTTACAGGGTTGGCATACAACAAGGCAGTAGTCACAGGTGTAAGGGCGGATTGTCCTCAAACTCTGTGAGGTGAAATCTATTGCCTACACCTCCATGTTGACTTGTGTGGTCAGAGCTTCTGTCTTCTGTGGAGTCTGGCTCTGAGGCCAAATCAGCCAGACATGCTCAAGAGGACTGTGGAGGCTCTGCTACCTCCAGGACCTGGGTCTGCCTCTTTCCTGTAGATGTGTCTTCATCTGGGAACATGCTGGCCACTGCCCTCAGATGATCTTCAATCTTCCTCCCTCTCCCTTCAAACTGCTGACTAGTGCACCCCGTCTGGCCCACCTCTTCAACAGTAGATACAAGTACATCTACATTTGTACTTTTACTCTTGTGGCTACTATACCCTCTGTACTTTTGAGCAAAATTTGACCATGATAAAATCTACGTTTTTAAAATATGCTAAAGATGTCTTTGCAGAACACCAGAGCATCTGAAGGAACTGGTAGAGAAATGGTGCCTGTCTTCTGAGGTGGAAGGGGCCTGCTCCCTGGCCCTGTGAGTCTGCTGAAGGCACATTAAGTCAGTCCTGGCACCCACATCTGGGGCAGAGAGATCTGTGGTTCCCAGCCATTAGAAGGAAGCTCATCCCCTCAGTTCTTCAAGCTGAAGGGTTAGCACCTACCGATTTACTCAGAATGTTTGGCCCCTCGGGTGCGTCTTGGGCATTAGAATCTCCAGCAGAGCTCTGACTCAGGCTGCCTCTTTAACTGGGAGCACAGGAGCTCTCAAAAAAATCAGAGCCTCCACTTGCTCCCATCATCTTAGCTAGCACAGATAGTGTTTGCTTTCTGCTGTAGGAAGAGCGCGAGGCATCCCTGAGCTCCATGTGTCTGCTGGAAAGGAGCCCCCCGAGGCCCTGCATCACTGCATCCCCGCACCCCTCTGAGTCACGCAGGACAGAGGGGAAAGAGCTTCCACCCAGTGTTCACTTTTTTGTCCAATCTTTGTTTTTAATAAGCAGGACCCCTCCCCCCTTTCTTTTTAATGATTTTTGTAGTTGATTTGTCTGAACTGTGGCTATTGTGCATTCTTTGAATAATCACTTGTAAAAACTGTCGATGCTTGAAGCTGTTTCCTTTACTCAAGTTGAAAGGACTCTGTTGGTTTTGGGGTCTTGGTAGTGACTCCAAGAGCAGAGTGGGGAAGAGCCCAAGCATAGACTTGGGTGCCATGATGGCTGCAGTCCAGTTTTATGATTCTGCTTTTATGTGTCCCTTGATAACTATGACTAACAGTATACATTCCTCATAAATAAAAAAAAAAAAAAGAATTGTTAGAAAGCTTCGGGTCTCGGTTTCTTGGGGGAGGTGAAAATGGGGATAGAGGGACCTGGGTTCTTGGGATTTCTACTGTGTCGGATATGTAACCAGGGGAGACAGTCATCCCTCAACCTGCGGAGAGGAGCCATTTCAAAGAGCTTCCCTGGGCAGGTGAGCTTGCATCTAGGTTGGGTGGGGTACCTCAGGCACCTCTTAATTACCTCCCCAGCTCCACACACATCCCTTCACCATCAGAGCCCACCATTAAATATTCTGTCCACAAGGACTTGACATGGAAGATTTCAAGGCCCAGAGTAGGAAAACCTCCCTTCAGACAGTATCACAAATTACACACACAATTCCAGCTCTCCTTGAGAGGTGTTCTGCCTCCTCAGCACTGCCCCCACCCCCAGAGTTCTTTGGCCTGTGGGAATGTGCATATTTGGAGTAAAGTTGCAGCTGGGACCAGGACAGGCTTGGCTACAGTCTTAGGAGAAAGACCGTTTGCTTTTAACTTCACATTTATATAGCATCCAAAATGTCTCTCCATCTTGAATTTCAAAGATTGCACCTCTTGCCACATTGTAACTTATTCCAGAATTTTTAGAAATCTCATTCTTGGCCTTTTAAAAATGATATTATACCAGAGGACTTACAGTAACTAACAGCAAGGCTGTCAGTGAAACCACATTCCTTATCCATTATACAGATGGAAGAGCTGAGGCCAGGAGGGCCAGTGGCATGTTTTGGGGCATATTACATAAGGACCAGGACTCTGCATGGTGTTATTCACAGTCTGCTGAAATAAAGTGCTAAGTGAGCTGAATAGTTTTTAATTTAAAGACAGTGAAGGATAATGTCTTCACCTGCCACTGGTGTATCAGGAACCTCAAGTGCCTCTGTCCTGTCCTCAGGCAGCTCCTGGTCCCACCTAGAGGGAAATGTAGTGCCCGGGCTTTTTAGAACGTGGATAGTTTCTTTAAAGTCTAAGGCAAGTGCCTGGATATGTCATCTGCAGGGGGAACAAGACTGTCCCACTACCCACCTCTAAATGGGCTGGGAAGCAGGGCTGCCCTGTGAGAGCACAGAAGGGATTTTCTTTAGCTCATCATTTCACTTGCTGTGCACCTTGCATTTTATCTGGGGTCCCATAATTTAATACTGTTCCCAGGATTTGAGCCCTGTTCTGGAAACGGTCTGGCCTCCATGCAGATTGCAGCCTTGACTCAGAGCACAGGGGCCATGGAGGAAGCCCCACCATCCCAGCCTCCAGAGACTGGTCCTCGCCTCTGCCCTGTCCTTTACAAAGGGTCCTCCCTAGGAGCCATTTCTGGGCTCTGTCTGCTCCAGGCCCAGCCATTTGGCATTTCTTTTCCATCTGATGAGTAGATTTGTAAGGCTACAAATCATTCATTCAACAGCAGACTGTTAACCACTCACCTTTTCTCTGGAATCTTGTAATGTCTTTAACCTCTCATGAATCCACTTTCTCCAGCTTTCTCCCTTTTTCCTGTATTTGCCAACCCTGTGCTGTGAGGGTTCTCCCCCTACCCCACAAATACAACAGAGTGACAAGACACCTTTAGAAACTACTTTCTTTACGAGAATCTTGAGTTCCTAATGAGTCTGGCCTGGGGTGGGCTAGACCAGTGCAACTATTCCAGGAGTGCAGACAAGGGGGGCGAAGGCAGTGTGGGGAGGTGGGGACACCAAGGATGGATGAGTGAGGTGGCCTAACGGTTCCTAGACCTACTGTCCCTTCGGAACCATGTGACCAACACACTGACCTCTTGGACCTGTTGGGGTGAATATTAAGAGGTGGCTGCTTGCTCTCTTTCTGGTCAGCGTCAGGGAGTGGGAGGCTGGCCAGCACCGGTTAGGCTGTGAGGGATGCTATGGCTCCAGCCCAACTCTGCCCTGAAACAGAGGTGACAACCGGAACCGCGTCCACTCTGGCTTGGGGAGTGATTCAGAGAGGGCCCTAAAGAGCTCTCTCTCCCTTCCCATAGAGCTCTTCCCCCTGTTGCAAAGCCCACAGCAAGAGCATGGACTTTAAGGCAGTCTTGGGTTTCAGGCCCAGCACTACTCACCAGCAGTCCCTTGTTCTCTGAGCCTCATTTCTCTTCTGTAAAATGGGAGCCCCTTCCCTGCATGATTGTTGTGAGGAATAAAAACGGTGCATCCAAAGGAACTGGCACAGAGCAAACCCTTAGTAAATAATAGCTGATACTGGGATTTGGAGGGGATGCAAACAAGGACCAAAGCGCCCAAAGACTGTTCCCAATTTCCTTAGGGGAAAACAGTCTTGTCCTTCCTCCACAGATAGCCTTCCTCTGCAGAACTCACCATCTGGGGAGCTGCCTATGTCTTGTTTGCTTTCAAATTTTCAATAACTTGGTACCAGCTGTTCCATATTACATACCTCATTGCCAGCCATCAAAAGCAGAGGGCCCATGTGTACTTTCTTTCCACACAAAAATGGTCATCAGATCACCTGTGGCCTTGCCATCTCTGAGGGAGATAATCCCAACTCCTTTTCTCACTGCCTCCTCCCAAACCCACCTTGCTCCGGGTTTCCATCCAGTTTCTCTACCTCCCTCTTCAGATCCAGAGCCACCTCCAGTCCTTGGCCAGCACCAAGCTGGGTACCCAATTCTCTACAGAGACAGCCCCACCATGGAAAGGAGGCAAGGGGCTTCCCTGACATCACTAAGGGAAGAGGACATAGGACCCAAGAGTGGAAGAGACTGTGGTTCCCAAAATTTTCCAGTGCCCTTGAGGGTTCAAACTCTGTACTGGCACGTAGTAACACTTCCTTCACCTCTGCCCTTCCCTCCTCCCTAGTGTGGTAGTCCCCAGAGGGCTGCACCCAGAGATGAAGGGGATGGCACTGCCCAGTTAACTCTCTCGTGTACACTGACCCCTTTCTTCCTTGCTGCAGCACTCGGCCAGCTCTGTCATCCTCGTTTTACAGATGCGGAACACCAAGTTCAGAGGTAACTGCCTCATTGAGAGAAGCTGGACAAGCTGCTCTCTAACATCCCCTCTAGCGCCATTTGGTGATGTACTTGGACAACAGCCACTGTGGGAAATATTAAAAGCAAATACAGCCACAGCAGCAGCTGAGGGGCTTCCCCATAGCCCAGGCTATGAACCTTTCCTCTGAAGGGTAGGGTGCCAGCTTGAGGAGGAAGGGGCCTCAAGCTGGCACCCTACCCTTCAGAGGAAGGGTTCCTTTCCTGATGCTGTTTTGGGTTCCAAGATGCTTTTCCTAGGGATATGAGTTTGAGGTGGGTCCAGGCATAATACAAGCAACTCCCAATTTTCTGTTCTAGAAGGGAGTCTCCATGGTGCAGACACTTCCGCCACCAAGAAGCGATGTCTGTGAACCCATCTGACAGGTGGGGAAATGTGCCGAGGCACAGCTCATGCAGCTGCTGGCTTAGTGTCCCCATGATGTTCTTTCATAGCCAGTGCAGAACCAGATGAGCCTGGGGTCTCTGAGCACACACCTGTGTCAAGAGGAGCTGACCCAGAAGGGAGGCAGGGCCAGGGAAAGGGCTTAGCCCAGGAATGGAATGAAACTTCGCTGAGGATGTGCCTGAGAGAAGCCCCCCACCCATTAGACTCACTTGAGTATACCCTGTAACATTCCTTCTATCTGCACGCCCCGGTTCCCAGCTCCCCCAGATCCAGGCCCTTTTGGGGGAGACCCGGTTTGCTCAAGGAAAAGATAGGGTAAGGCTAGGCCTTGGGGGGAGGCTGGCATGACAGTTGACCCCACTCCCACTGGCTCTGGCTGCCTCTCAGACTTGACATTCATGAAGCATCTACTCTGTGTCAGGTACAGCGCTAGGCTTTTCCACGGCATCACTTCATCCTCCCAGCAACCCCATGAAGAGAGCATTACCATCCCCATTTTACAGACAAGGAAGCTGAGGCCTAGCAAGGCAAGGGACTTGCTGGAGATGTCTTCAGAGTGAGCAAGTAGCAGAGCTGGGACTAGAACCCAGACTCTGGGATCCCTGTCCAGTGTTCTTTGCCTGTGTTGTGTCTCCTCCCACCCATCCACCAGCACCACCTCCCACATCCACTAAGCCTGGAGAAGCACAAGTCCCAGCTGTGCTCCAGAGAACAGAATGGAGCACCAGGTCCCTCGAGTGCACTTGGCAGACTGACCCTTCTGTGACCTGCCATCTGCTGGCCTGGCACTGAGACCAGGCTGGGACCACAAATCAGCGCCAGTCACATGGTAGGAGTGGGAGCAGGGGTGGGAGATCCCCAAAGAGGTCTGCTTCCTTGGCTAACAGGCCAGGTGGCCTCCAGCCAGCCCCTAGGAGCAGCATCAGGAACAGCCTCCAGGGATGCACAGAACGGAAGCTGAAGCTATGCTTTCAGGGGAGTCACTGGCCGCAGCAGACCTGTCCTTCTGAAGTTCTGCTTCAAACCTGCTCAGCTTTGGTTGGGAGGGGGCAGAGGAGGAGCGAGAGCTGGAAGGATGGAACAATGAATAGAAGGACAGGAGCAGCAGTGTGGACATGACAGAGTTCCAGCCATTTGCCCCTGCTTGCTGGTCTTCTGTCCAGCCCAGCTCTGCTGCAGGCAAAAGGCTGGGTCTGCTTAAAGCCAGCATCCTTAGTTTACTTCCTTCAAGCAGTCGGTTCAATGTGGGAAAAAAACAGGGCACCGACAGATGGCTCTCAGGGTGGGGAGGAAGGGTCAGAGAGCCACCAGGGTGTGTCTCACCTTCTAGGCTCTTTCTTCATCTGGAACATGGCTCACGTTGGAATCCATGAATGTAAAATGTCCTTCCAGCTCCAAAAGCCTGTGAACTTGTACTTCTCACACAGTTTTAGTATTTGGACATCAGACTCCCAGCAGGTCACCCAAAGATTCAGAACTCAGAGGCTCCCCTAATAGCCAGCTTTGCCCACCACACCCTGAGCCCGAGAGAGAAAGGAAGGAGAGGGAAGTCTAGAGGGTGCAGAGAAATCTTCACTGGGCACAAGGGGACCTGGTGCTGGGCTCTGAATCCCTTAGAAGCAAGGAGCTATGGGATCGAGCTGGAAACCTGCCTCAGGAGTCTGTGACCACAGGGCCAGGCTAAGCCCTCTGGGTGGAAGCCACTGACCACTGCGAGGCCCACCCAGCCCAGCTGCTGTCCATTCAAGCAAGGGCATATGTCAGTTCATACCCTCTTGCTCCTCTCTCCTGTTCCTCTCTCTTTCCTCTTGCTCCTCCCTTCTGAGCTACCATTGTATCAGGCCAGCCCAGCAGAGTCTGAGCTCCTGTCCCCCCACCCCTCCTCCCATGACACGGAGGCAGTGGATGACTCTGTCCTCTTCCCCAACTCTCTTTCTTCAGGGTGGAAGGCTCTGACATCTCTTTCCTCCATTTCTCAGCCTTCATCCTTCACTATCAACACTATTGCCTGGCCTGGTACAACATAAGAAAGGGAGCAGCCCAAACATGATGAAGCTGGCCCAGCCTCCAGGTTGGAGCTGACTGTGTGTGGATGGAAGTATGGGGGAGCAGGGGCTCCAGATAAACTGAAGGATGGGTCTGTGGGGGCAGCGTCCCTCTTCCTGGTCGCTCACTCGTCCATCCTCCACCCAACACTACTGTACAACAGAGGGCAAAGGGGTGAAAGAACGTGGAGATGCAGAAGGTCTCACTTGGAGCTGGGAGCTGAGTGGTCCGGGTGGAGGAAGGTGGTGCTGGTGTAGTTCTGGAAAAGAGGCTGCAGGAACATGCCAATGGTGCCAAAGACACAGACAAAAACAAAGATCCAGAGGAAGAGGCGGTCGATCACCATGGCGACGTACTTCCAGTCCTCACTCACCTGGATGGAGGAGACAAAGGAGGCCCAGGTGTCAGACACATGAAGGAGGACGGGAGTGGAATGGGTATAAGCAGGTCCCCCCACACATACACACACCCCACTCCTCTCCCTCAGTGATCCCATAGCAATCTTTCTAAAGCACACTCTGATCTTGCCTGCCTAAAACCCTCCAGTGGCTCCATTGCCTTTAGGACCCATCCAAACTTCCAAGTCTGGAATCAAGACCCACCCATGACAAATATGAGCCTATCTCCTGTCTTCTCACAACCTGTAACCCAGACTTAACAAACCCTAACGTGTCCTCTCAGGTCTCTATGCCTTTAGGTTTCCTTTGTGTCTGCAAATCCTGACCTCTCTTTCTCCATCTGGTGAACTCCTACCTTTCCTTCAAAGACCAAAGCAAACATCTCTTTTTCTACGGAGGCTTTCTTGACACCCAGATCAAAATGAACCACTGTTCCCCGTGGGATCTCTGAGCCCTGTGTACACATCTCCATCACATTATTTTTACTGTGCTGTACTGTCTCAATTTGCAGGTCTGTTCCCCCAGTAAGCTACAGGTTCCTAAACCACAGGAACCCTGTCAGATTCATCTTTGTAACTCCAGCATCTGGAACACAGAGTCCCGTACATGGCTGCTGAATTAGTGAGTGAATGGCTGCCTCTGCAGGCCTCGCTCCTTCTATGATTGCAGAGGGAGCTCCATTCAACAGCACCACCTTAAGTACAGAGGCCCCAAAGGGTGAGAGCTGGGTCCCAGATGTGAACAAATCTGTTAAAAAGATAATACTCTCCGGCCCGTGGCTCACTCGGTAGAGTGCGGTGCTGATAACACCAAGGCCACGGGTTCGGATCCTATATAGGGATGGCCGGTTTGCTCACTGGCTGAGCGTGGTGCTGACAACACCAGGCCAAGGGTTGAGATCCCCTTACCGGTCATCCTTTCAAAAAAATAAATTAATTAAAAAAATAAAAAAATAAAAATAAAAAGATAATACTCTCTGGGTTTGAGAGCCAGTCACAGGGCTCACACAAAGGGCCAGCCTCTCCTCAGAGCTGCTCCACTCCGGCCTGAGTCTGGGCCTCTGCACACGTGTTTATCTGGAGCCCAGCCAATTCCAGGGGTGGGGAGGAAGCAACCGTGCATCTTCACTTAGTCAGCAGCTGAACAATCCCTCATGCATGTCACAACTAGGCCTACTGTATATCTGCCACCATGCTAGGCACTGGGGACACAACTGAGCAAGACAAATGCATCCTGCAGTTGACAGTCTATTGAGGGAGATGGAGACAAAAATAAGTAAGAATAAAAAAATTACATACTGTGTGGGAAACAAAGGACTGAAATAGAGAAATGGAGGGGAAAACATAATTTAGAGTGTGGTCTGAAAAAGCCTCTTTGAGGTGACATTTAAGATAAGATCTGATGAGTAAGAGGAAGCCTGTGTCAGGAATACGCTGAAGAAACAATCAGACAAACCCAAACTGAAGGATATTCAACCAGCCTGTACCCTTTAAAAATGTTTATGTTATGAAAGACAAAGCTGAGGAACTGTTCCAGATTAAAGGAAACTAAAGAAACATGACAACTAAATGCAATTTGAGATCCTAGATTGGGAGGGGAGTGAGGGGTGATGTTATGAAGGACATTACTGGGACAGTTAGAAAAATTTAAATGTGGACTTCATATTAGATTAAGGTATTGATGCTAAATTTCCTGAATTTGATCATTGAATCTAGGCTAGGCAAGAGAGTGTCCCTGTTCTTAGGAGAGACAGGCTGAAGTATTTGGGATAAGTGGTCACAGTGTCTGCAACTTACTCTCAAATAGTAGAGCAAAAATTAATAATAGTAATAATTTTTAAAAGGATAAAAAGGAAGGGCATTCCAGGCAGAAGGACCCATATGTGCAAAGGTCCTGAGGCAAGAAAGAGTTTGGTGTGCTTAAGAAAGTCAAGCGGGTAAGCCAGTGACCTGAGCAAGGTGGAAAGGCACAAGTTCTGAGGGAGTCATTGTCTGGATGCAGGAGCGCAGGAGCTGAGTCAGGGAGACTTTTAGGAGACTATGCCCTGGTCCAGGCAAGAGATGGTGAGACAAGGTTGAAGCTGAGAATTACCTCAGAGTTCGGGCTTACAGGACAGGACTTCTGATGACTTGGATGATGGGGGAGATGAGAGAGAGGAGTCAAGGATCACTCCAGGTTTTTGGTCTGAACCACTGGGTGAATGGTGATGCCATGTACTAAAAGATGGGGAAACTGGGGGAGGAGCAGATTGGTGGTGGGGATGTAGATCAGCTCTCAGTTTTGGACATGTTGAGTCTGAGGCGCCTGTGAAGCGTTCAAGTAGGTCACTGCATCATCGTCAGCACCTAGCTCCGTGATACACAATACATGAGTGGACTGCAGCAGGAGAGGCAGGCGGGTGATGCAGCCACCAAGTCCCTGCAGCCCAGCACCCCTGCATCTCCCACTTGGCCTCAGCGGGCTCCTGCCTCATCTTCTCCAGTCTCGGCCCCCCTCTTCCTCCACTGGACTTAAGATGCTCTCTGGCCCAAGGTTCAGCTCCAACTAATCTGTTGTCCAGAAGAACAGATCTCTGAAGCCCTCCAGCCCACAAAAACTGTAGTACCTGCCCTTTCTCATCCCCCAACCAGAATGGCAGCATCCCAGAGGAAACCTGGCCGGTCATCATGGCAACAGCTGAGCCTGAGTCTGGAATCAGCCAAGTACCTAGAGACTGACCACAGGCTGGGGCCAACGATGCCCAAAGTGGGGGGATGTCAACCCATCATACCTCCTCCCAAATCCCAGCTCAGTCTCAAGCAGTCCCCTCCTGGGGGGCCACTGCAAAAAAAGCCAAAAGCTAGAAATGCAGAGAGCTGGGGTACAGGTGAGTAGCCCTCGCCTCCACCTGCCACCCCAGTATCTCCACAAATATTTCATGAAGCCGTCCCCCGGACCCAGAAGAACAGAAAAGCGGTATTGATTTGGGACTCTGTCCTCTCCACAGCTAGCAGGCTCGTGGAACCTCTTAACACCCCTCTCCCCACTCCACACACACATCTACTGACCTTGATTTTGCCCCCCGTGGGGCACTCACCAAGGACGCGTCTCTGTGCTAAGAGCTGCAGATTAACAACGTGGATGCGGGAATGCAAACGGCAGGGACGGACAGGCCGCCCTCCCTACACTGACACTGACGATGCCCCAGCGGAGGCACTTCACCCCGGACAGGAGTCCTCAGGAAGCCTCAAGATCATCCTGTACTGACTCCAGTGTAGGCGGCGCCGCCTCCCGGAAGCCAACCGAGAAGAACCGAAGCCAGCGCCCGGGCCCACAGCACAGACCCGCCCCACATTCCCCGTGCTGCACCCCTATTAGCTTTGCGTGCCTAAGGAACGCCACCGCTTTCCAGACGCCGGGGCCCGGCAGCCCGGCTTTTCACCCCCGGTGTCCCTGCCCAGGGACAGTCCCTGCCACTCACACTCTGGTCGTCGTCCTCGCTCCGCATATGGTCCGCAATGAAGCGCACGCCATCCACTGCCTCCCGGAGGCCGCAGCCACACGGCCCCCCAGCGCGCCCCGGGCCGGCCACCGGCGCGGGCTCAGCCCCGAAGGCCCCGCCGGCCAAGCCCTGGACCGACGCGCGGTTGACGAAGCACGTGCAGGAGTCGGCCCTGCAGTTGACAGTCTATTGAGGGAGATGGAGACAAAAATAAGTAAGAATAAAAAAATTACATACTGTGTGGGAAACAAAGGACTGAAATAGAGAAATGGAGGGGAAAACATAATTTAGAGTGTGGTCTGAAAAAGCCTCTTTGAGGTGACATTTAAGATAAGATCTGATGAGTAAGAGGAAGCCTGTGTCAGGAATACGCTGAAGAAACAATCAGACAAACCCAAACTGAAGGATATTCAACCAGCCTGTACCCTTTAAAAATGTTTATGTTATGAAAGACAAAGCTGAGGAACTGTTCCAGATTAAAGGAAACTAAAGAAACATGACATGGTGGCGCGGCTGCTGCATGAAGAGCAGCGCCGGCAGCTTCTCCAGGAAGACGACCTTGACCCAGGGCGCCATGGTGTGCGTGGTGGGCGAGCGGTGGTGCACGTTGAGCACGCACACGCTTGTGACGATGGAGAAGGTGACAAGCACCATGGTGAACATGAGGTACTTGCCGACGAGCGGTACGTCGAGGGAGGTGGGAGGCACGATCTTGGAGATGAGCAGCAGGAAGACTGTGAGCGCCAGCAGCACGGAGATGCACAACGTCATCTTCTCGCCACAGTCGGACGGCAGGTAGAAGACGAGGATGGCCAGTGAGGTGATGAGCACACAGGGGATGATGAGGTTGATGGTGTAGAAGAGCGGCTTGCGGCGAATGATGAAGTCGTACGTGATGTCCACGTAAGTGGAGTCGTCCGGGTTTTCATTGCGGCGGCCGGGCAGCGCCACGATGTCCCACTCACCACTGGGTGTGAAGTCGTCCAAGCTGGCCACGTCACTCTTGAGCACCAGGTCGATCTCGGTGCGGTCGTAGGTCCACGAGCGGAACTTCATGGTGCAGTTTTGCTGGTCAAATGGGAAGTGCTTTACTTCAATCTTGCATGCACTCTTGTAGATGGCAGGCGGCAGCCAGAAGATGCTGCCATCATAGGAGACCACGGCGTTGGAATAGAAGGACACCTCATACATTCCATCAGCACTGCCAAAGGATGGACACAGTCGGTCCTGGCCTAAGCATTCTTCCATCCCCACCCATCAACCCAGCCCTGAGTGGGAGGAGAGGAAATCCAGAGGAAGATACGAGTAGGGGAAACCCAGGTCTGAGAGTAACCATCCAGGAGCATAGCGAGGTGGAGTAGGAATTGAGCAGGAATAGGATATGAGTGGGTTGGTGGCTGGAAGAGACGTCCTGGCCAGGAGTCCTGTGTGGCCTCTTGGAGGTAGAAGAGGGTGAATGAAGGGAGGGGCTACTTGCTACTTGTGGCGCATTGTAAAAGCTGGTTGCTACTCCTAAGGGTGGAGAAGTTGGAAAAGCCAAAGAGGCCAGAGAGAGGCTCCCCAAGCAATGGAGGGATACAGAGGCAGGTGGGAGCAGGGCATGGTCCTATCGGTTGAAGGAAATGGTTTTATATATTAGAGGTGAGAGGGATTATAAGAGACAGGAGAGAACTTGGAGGAGAAACTGGGACCTTAAGGTTCTTTGATCCTGCCCAGACTTCCAAGAAAGCCTACTCTTGAATCAGTTTAGAAACTGGGGGCTGTCAATCCCTGTTTGTATCCCTACTGCAGCTCCAAATACTGAGAATCCTAATTGGCTAGGAGGGGGCTGGTCATGGCCCAAGTCACCTTGGCTGTCCACACTATATCTCACTGGTCTGGGTCTGTCTGTCTGTCTGGATAGTGACTATCTGCCTATCTGCCATTGAAAAGTCCCTTCTCTCCCACACCATGCTACTTTGTCTCATTTTCCCCAAGACCCCTTCCCTCCCTGAGCATTCCCATGGTCTCCCCCAACATTCTTATTACTCCAGGGTCACCTACTTGTTGTACAGGACCACATCTGGCAGCCAGATATGTTTGGAAGGGAGCCGAACTTTCTTCATATTGTCAAACTCCTCAGGCTTCCAGGTGAGGCGATAGTCTTCCCACTCCTGGAAAAGGGAGAGAGGCAGTACCAACCTCTGCCCTGGGAGGGCCTTGAGGTCAAGGAAAGGGGTATGACGAGACCCATATGGCTTGAGGGAGCTTTTAAAAGCCAGTCTCCTCCCCACAGGGACCTCTCTGCCATACAAGTGTGGCTCATACAATACTTTCTCATTTAATTTTCATAGCTAAGCCAAGGTATTAGAATCTACATTTTACAATTGAGAAAATGAATTTTGGAGAGTTTATCCTGTTTAAAGTCACAGAGCTGGTGAGTGTAAGAACCAAGATTCAAATCCAATTACTTAGGACTCCAAAGTCTATATGTTTCTACCTCTTTTGAGGAGATTGAAAGAGAGAAAAGCACATGTCAAAAAAAAAAAAAAAAAGGAGGAAAGAGAAAGCCAGGGGTGTGGATGGGAAGAGCACTTACCTGGGTCAACCAGACATTGGTGGTCATGATCTGCTCCCGTTCATGCTGTGGGGAAGAAGAGAAGCTTCTGAGAACATTCCCCAGCCTGTGGGCCCACTGCCACCAGGGTCTCTCTCACACCTCCCCAATCCTTGGGAACAGAGGAGTCAGTACAAACATTAACACAACACATTCTGGCTGGGCTGACTTTAGCTAGGCAGAGAGTTCAGGACCCCCACTCACCACACTGATGAGCTGGGCCAGTGATACCATGAGCTGTACCGTCACCAGCTCAGAGCCATTGGTGGCTGGGCGGATAAGCTTGTTGTAGCGAGAAGGATCCAGGAGATGCTCCACCAGCCGCTCCTCCGTGTCTGTACCCCACACCCCTGGGCAGGGCAGTGGCAGGAAGCGAATAGGTAAGGAGGGCCCACCCAGGATCCCACCCTCCCCAGGCAAGTGGAACAATCCAGACCCAACCAGCAGCTTCCTACTGCACCATCCCTAAGGATACTGCAAAATGCTTAGGTTATGCCATGGAATCCCCAGATTAACATCCTCACAGATAAGCCCATTTCTGAGACCACCAACCAAGGAGTCCAGGCAGCCCCACAGAAATGCCTCCAGACTAAGAACCCACTCTGCAAGGATTAGTGGAGTGGAGAACTGCTCTTCCTCCAAGGTCTCAGAGGGTAGTTTCAAAAGGCTTGATATTTCTGCTTCCATGGCTTCTCCAGCAAATTCCCATGATTCCAGGGAGGTTTTAGAGGGTGGTGAAAGGGAAATAGTTATTTGTGTCCTGCCACACACACCTTCTCCTAAGACAGTGCCCATCTATGTGTGCAAATAACAATATATGCCTCTACATATGACTGTGGTCATGCCCCCCCCTCAAAGGCACTGGGTTGGAGCAGAATAATTGGACTGCGTAAGCTGTTGGTCAGGGCATATTTAGTCTCAAATTCCACACATACAAGAGCCCACTCTCGTGAGATGGCATGCAGATGTGGAAAGCTCATTCACTTGTACATTCCCTTTGTGCCTGCCCCTCCACACACTCTATCCCCTTCTGAAACTCTGCACGAACACACCCCTCCCCACCCCCTCAGAGAGCTCCTTCCTAATTCTCAGCCTGGCAGAGCTTCTTCCCTTCCAAGTCTCCTGTCCTACCCTACCAGAAGGTTGATAAGTCAGTTCTCTCCCCTTCCTGCCTGTGGGGTGACCAAAATCAGGAGCCCAATGTGGAGGATAGGAAATGATGTGCAGCCAAGGGCAGAGCATTGAACAAGGTAGATTTCTTGAGATAACGTTTCACACAAAGTCAGATGGGATCTCAGTCGCCATCAGAGTCAGCCCTCCTGCCATCCCAGAAAGCCTGGGGAGATCCCCTTCCTCCTTCCTCTCTGTGCCCACACCATCACCACCACTGGCCTGGTTTCCATCTCTTCCTTGTGTTACTTACTCCTTTGGGTATGTTCTCCTCCAAGTTCAGTCTCCCAGATGCTCCCTGCAGTCCTGGGGGGTCTCTCCCCTAACCCCCAGTAGACTCCCCCATCTCTATGGAATCCCTCCCTTCCACTTTCCGGCCTGGCAAGAGTTAGACAGAGCGTGGCGAATCTTGGGCCATTGACTAGGGTAGGGGAATCTGGCCGGTGCCCATCCTTACCTGAGCACAGCCCAAGAAAGCCGAAGCTGAGGAACAGCGCCACAGGGCCGGAGCGTCGGGCCATGCCGCGGGCATAGCTTGCTACCTCGCCTACCCCGGCTCCAGCAGGCCGCCGGCGGGAGGGCCGCGGGCGGAGCGCTGTCCGTGGTGCTGAAGCCGCGCCCGCGCCCGGCTGGAGCTGGGCCCAGAGGATGCTCGCGGCCTTCGTTGCTGCCCTGCCGGCCGCCGCGGCAGTTCCTCGGGCGCAAGGAGCAGGCTGCAAGGAGGAACGAGCCTGTCGTTTATCCCGGTCTGAGCAGGCGGAGGCTTTTCCGGCTGCTCTTCCAGGGAATACAATTGGGACAGTGATGGGGAGGAGCCTAGGCCCCGGAGGCGGAAACGCCGGATCATAGGAAAAAAGAGGGTCCCTGGATGGTATATTCCTCTACTGGTCCTGCCTAGTTAGGGTGTGCGTCAGGCGAGAGAAGAGCTGTCCTTCCACGAGACGGTGGAGGAGTTCTTAGAGCCCCGAAGTTGGGGCAGCACCTGGAGGGGTCGGAGAAATGGCAGGAGGCTCGGCAGGAAGGAGCAGCGGGAGTGACAAGTAGGTCAGGGCCCGCTTAGTAAAGGGGGCCGCAAGGCTAGAATGAGGGAGCAGGAGACGGGAGGAGTTTCTGGAGTTCCCGCCCTCTTTTTTTCTCTTACCAAACACAAATAATCCTGCTCCCTGGGTTTGCTGTTGTAAGAAAGCAAACAGCTTTGGATTCTTGGAACAGAGTCCCCTCTCCTGTCCCCTTCTTTACCTCCACAAACTCCCTAAAAGGCCAAGCTTCCTGCTGCTCCCCCACGGGGGGTCTAAGGCAAGGAGGTTGACTTTGCCTGAAAAGAAGGTAACCTTGAAGATCTTGAAGAGTGGAAAGATAAGCAGCCCGAATCAATTAGCCTTTCTCACCCCCATTCTCTTCCACTCTAGTCATTGGCTTCTGTGTGACCAGGGAAATCAGAGATCTACTTCACAGAGGCCTGCCCAAGAATAAAGCTAACACAAAGGAGAGCAGAGATAAGAGAGGAAGAGAGGTGTCAAAACTCAATGACATCTTTGATCTTGAAAGCCCTGAGCCAATAAAGATCCCACTTCTTCTTAAGTGGGTTTGTTGTCACTTTCAACGAAAAGATTCCTGACTAAAACAGACTTATCTTACAGTAAGGCTCTGTCCTGTTCCATTTCTGCCTACTTATCCAACCTCATCTGGGTCGCTCTACCCCCAACTCCACACTTCAACTATTGGCAATGTCTTTAAGATCCTTGAATATTTTATCCCTCCCATCCTCCATACTTCAGAGACTTTAAAACACATAGTTCCCTTATCACCCATTTTCCCCTAACCGCCTTCTACTTAACTTTGAACATTTGGCAGAAATGTTAGTTCCTCAAGGAAGCTGTGCCTAATGAAGGACTAGGTCTTAATCCCTTTTCTGCTCTATGACAGAATGTGGTATTCTGTTAGACTGGGTAATTTACAAAGAACAGAAATTAATTTTTTTTTTCTAAAGATGATTGGTAAGGGGATCTTAACCCTTGACTTGGTGTTGTCAGCACCATGCTCACCCAGTGAGCTAACCAGCCATCCCTATATGGGATCCGAACCCAGGGCCTTGGTGTTATCAGCACCACACTCTCCCGAGTGAGCCACGGGCCAGTCCAAAACAGAAATTAATTTTGCTCATAGTTCTGGAGTCCTGGAAGTCCAAAATTGTGGTGCTGTCACCTGATGAATGTCACCCATGTCAGAAGGCATCACATGGCAAGAAGCTCATGCATGAGACAGAAAATATGAAGCCAAATTCATCCCTTTATCAGGAGCCCACTCCTGCAATAACTAGCTCACTCCTGAGATAATGGCAGTACTCCATTCATGAGGGTAAAGCTCTCGTGACCTAATCACCTTCTAAAGGTTCCACCTCTCAACACTGTTGCATTGGGGATTAAGTATCCAACAAATGAATACGGAGTGGGGGGGCAGGGGAGGGCACATTCAAACGATAGCAGTCAGGTACCCTGTTATATGTTTCTAGAGCATGTTCAATGATAAGTGAATCCATCTATGGCAGTGGCTGTCTATTGTACTTGATTATGAACAGCACAGTGCCTGGCATATCATAAGGGCTCAACAGGTAAGGAAAAGGGTTAGTGCAGGACTGACATCTTTCAATATGTGAGGGAAAATTCCTCTGTAAAATCTCAGCTAAAAGCAACTTACTTAACATGTCCCCAGTTCCTAGAACTAAGGGGAAGAAGCAGGACAAGTTCCAGAAAAGGACAAGAGAAGAAGTGGGATGACTACAGGCCCCTAATGCACCTGGAATTGGGCATAAATCTGAACCACTAGCTCCAGGGCACATGCATGTGTAAACATGTAATAATCTCTTAAGACTTAGAGAAATCTTGGAACCAAGGAAAGGAGTGGAGAATAGAAGCCTTAAGGAAAAGAGACGGAAGGTATGCAGTCACTCCACTTTGGGAAAAGGTCAAGGGTGGGAAGAAGACCCACCTTCAACAATTTAGATCTACATTTTTTGGTTATCTACTGTTTGCCAGGAATTGTGTAAGTGTTGAGAAGACAGTGATCAAAAATACTTAGTCCCAGATATTAAGGCAATCAAAATCTGGCAGCAAATTATTACACAATGTGGAGATACTCTAACAGAGATATAAAAGATGGAAGCACAGAAGAAGGAGAGGTTAATAGTGTCTGAGGACCTGGAAGTGATGGAGATAAAACTTGAGACTTGAAAGACGAGAAAACGAATAAGGCAAGAATGACTTCAAGGCATTCCAAACTCCTGAGATAATAAGGGAGCTTTGGTGGATGCAGGGTGATGGAGGAAGGCTGTGAAAATCTTCTGTTATGAAAAATCTCTTTCTGGAATGATTGCCTGTTTCTGTGATGATGGACTGGGGGAGGGGTGTCCCTTGCTTGCTTAAAGCTTTTGGCTGCTCCCTGATGCTCCTTTCAGGCGACTCCAAGGAGCCTGTTCACCTTGGTCTCATGCTTCTCTTCTCAAATTCCCCACCTTTTAGCTCACATTTACTTCCAGCCTGGCAAGAAGTGAGTCCTCTAAGCACAACCACTCAGTGACCCTCCCTCCTCATCTCTCCCCCACATACTCCTCCCATACTCACCAGGAAGAAAGAGAGCCAGCGAGGGAGGACAGGTCCAGAACTACACAGGGTCATGGATAGATATAGAAGTGTCAATCCTGAGGCAAAATAGTGATTGGGGAGTTTTGGTGGGACATTCCCATTGCCTCTGATGGTAAGGAACATTTTCTCTTGAAAGGTATTAAAATCAATGTTATTATCCTTTATTTAAGATGTCTTAAATTTTAAAATTTTATTACCAAATACATGTGTTCATGAAGTCGAATTGCAAATTACAAGTTAGTGAGCTGGCTCATTAGCTCAGTTGGTTAGTGTGCGATATTATAACACCAAGGTCAAGCGTTCGGATCCCCATACTGGTCAGCCACCAAAAAAAAAGAAAGAAAGAAAGAAAGAAAACACAAGTTAGCAAAACAAAGTAATTACAGAATGGATTCATAATCCTACTTCCCTCCAAAAAATCACTGTTAGTAATGACAACAAATTTATATATACACATCTCCAAATTTATCTATTTATATGTACTTAGATATAACATTCATACACAAAGAAGTATATACATCATAAGTGTACAGCTAGAGCCAGCCCGGTGGTGTGCTCAGTAGAGTGTGGAGCTTGGGAGCGCGGCGGCGCTCCCACCGTGGGTTTGGATCCCATATAGAGACCGGTCCGCTCACTGGTTGAGCACGGTGTGGGCATGACACTGAGGGTTGCGATCCCATTGCCAGTCGTGGTATGGGCGTGACACCGAGGGTTGCGATCCCATTACCGGTCACGAAAAAAGACAAAAAGGAAAAAAATAAAATAAAATAAGTGTACAGCTAGAGCCAGCCCGGTGGTGTGCTCAGTAGAGTGTGGAGCTTGGGGGCGCGGCGGCGCTCCCACCGTGGGTTTGGATCCCATATAGAGACCGGTCCGCTGACTGGTTGAGCACGGTGTGGGCATGACACTGAGGGTTGCGATCCCATTGCCAGTCGTGGTATGGGCGTGACACCGAGGGTTGCGATCCCATTACCGGTCACGAAAAAAGACAAAAAGGAAAAAAATAAAATAAAATAAGTGTACAGCTAGATAAATTTTCACAACATAAACACAGCCATATAACCTCCACCCAGAATTTATTTTTAAAGGAACAAACGTGGCCAATATTGACTACTTCAAGTTCTAGAAGTAGGTAGTGGTAATGGTTACACTACATCGTGAATGCGATGAATGCTGCCAAATTGCACATTTTTAAGTGGTTAAAATGGCAAATTTTATGTATTTTACAACAATTTCTTTAAATGACTAAAAAAATGGATCACTATTCTGACTTCTAATAGTACAGGTCGACTTTGCCTGCTGACCTTTTTATAAATGAAATCATAATCTTTTGTGTCTTTTTTTTTAAATTATGTTAGTGAGAATCATGGACTTTGTTGAATGTAGTTGTAGCTCATTCATCTTCGTTTCTGTAGAGTATTCCATTGGATGAATATACTATCATTTATACATTCCACCATTGATGGATATTTGGGTTGTTTCCTGTTCTGGACTATTAAAAATAATATTGCTATGAACATTCTTGTTCATGTTTTTCATGTATAAATCTATGCATTTCTGTTGGGTACATAACTAAATCATATACTTTTTTTAAAAAAAACATACTGTAATATAGCTTTGTTACCTTCCTTTTTCATTTACTATTTCACAAACATCTCTCCTACCAATAAGTATTCTTTGATACCTATTTTTTTAACAGCTACATAGTATTCCATTGTAAGCAAAATTTTGCACATACCTTTAATAATTTCCAAGTGAAACTGCTGAGTCACAGTTTTAAAGTTCTTTGATTATTTAATTATTTATTGCTAAATTGAGGTCCAGAAGGATTGATATTGCCAGGGTTCCCCTGAGGCCTCAGGCTATGGCACTAATGACCAACACCCCTACAATTATTGCTTATGCTGAGTCCTATTTTCCCTTTCCTC